TCCACTGCTTAAATGTCGAATCTAAGGCGGGAAAATACTTTATGATCAATAAGCAATAGTACTGGGGCATTAAATGTTTGTCAAATTTCCGATCAGATTTAATGCCGGTGGTCCGGATAGAGATCCCCGATTCCAGTAGCCAGATATAGTACTTAACGCAAACATAGTCGTTCAAGGGAACTTTTGGTCAAGTAGTCTGCATTGATTAATAAGAGTAGAACAACTGTCAGCTACCTGGATAATTTTCAGTCCACAAATCGGGAATTACAAAGCCCCTCTTGGAACAGTGATACAGTTTAGACAGGCAAGGCTAAATCAGTAAGTAGAACATCAGCTAGTAACATAGATTGGTTCTGTGAATTAATAAATTTCGTTGATACTTGCGTCTGACCAAATGAAACACACCGCATTTGCAGCTGACCGAAGGGGTAACCTGTCTTAAACTGTCAGCCTTAAGATTCCGCAAATTCCGAAAACGAATTAACACTTTTATTTAATGCAGAAATTGGAGGCTTTCCCAGAGAACTGGAGGCTTCAAAATGCTCTTCCTACGAGGAAGAAAATGACGAAAATGAAATACGTGTAAAATGTGCTTTACCTATAGTCAGATAAAAAACTCAACTCAGCATGCTTAAGCAAAAATCTGTCACGGTATCTACAGGCATGGCAGACTCTAATCACTATAATCTTCAGGCCGGGTTCCGAGTAGGTGTAGTGGCCCTACTCCGAGCGCCTGTCTCAACGCTGTGCCTCTCGCGAGTGTCTGCACGTGAGCACCAGGGCTGTCTCGCGTTCGCCCACTCGGCTTTCCAACCGACCAATCAGACTCAAGGGCGAGTAGGACCCACCCTAGTGTAGTAGGCGATTAGTCCCTAAACTTGGAATTTCCCACAGACTGTGTAGATTGAGATGATGCTGCTCCTGTGACCACTCCCGCAACTGGGTTGCCGTTCAGTACTAAATTAGTGCTTTCTGTGACACCGCTCATGCTCCCACCAGAGTAGTCCAAGCAGTCAGCGTATGCAGTAAAAGATACCGTCTAGCGTGTACTATATATTCCTCAAGGTGGAACAAGAAGAAAGGGGGGATTAATGGTAAGCAAAAAACAGGGGTAGTGACTGGTATAACCAAAGGATGGGTGTAGCGAACCGTCAACTGCTGAGGCTCCAGAGGCAATATGTCCACCGCTTCCTCCTTCCCAGCTGTGCTCGACTTGGCGTCCTTATCTGTAAATAAAGAGGGCACGTACAAATTTTCTGCCTCCCGCCTCATTCTTCACCCCTCTCATCTAAACAACTCTGCCTGCTGTTACACTGGCTTAAAGCCCTTGGACGCATTCACTGACAGGGACGCGCTCTCCCGTCACCGGACGTGCCCTGCCAGCTCTCTCCAACCCCTTCTCCAGTTCTTTTGTACATCCTCCTCCCAACTGGCGTCCGCCTTCTCTTTTCATTCGGGACTGGGACTGAAGGTTGTGGTGGTCAAGATCCCACTCTTGGCTTAGGCTTTTGCGATAACTGAGGAGGAATAAAGGCCATTGGAGAGAGTTGTGTATTCTGCGCAGAATGGACGAGAAATGAGCGACGGGAGCAGGTTGGTGACTGAATGTGAGGCAGGTAAATGACTTTGTGGTCTATTCATTAGTCCCTTTGCTTCTCCTTCTCCTCCCCCTCTCTCTCTGTCACTGGTTTTACTTGGGTTTATCAAAAGGTGTGCTGTGTTTACCAACTGGTTTACTGGATAAGGCATGCTAGTTACTCGGTTAAACTCAGCGAGGCTACGGAATCCGCATTCGGCAAATCGCTTACAATGCAAGTGTTCAGCACTTTCACTACACATTTTTTCGCACCATCCTTCAAACTTAAACGTTTAATCAAGCAGATTTCCTATAAGTACGTGCGGTATTAAAGTGAATGGAACCCCACCCGGCAAGTCAGAAAGATATGACTGGGAATGAGTAGACGGGTCATGCTTCCGAAACTGTCGATAGAGCTCGGAAGATACCCAAGCGATATGCTTTAATAATAGCCTGCAGGCACCTCAGTCTGGGGATACAGTATCCAAAGAATTTTTCTTAAAATCATTAGGGGGTCCTATAATTGAACATGCTGTGAGGAGTTTAAGCATGAAACTTTTTTGAAAAAAAACTTTTGTGACACGACTCTTTATGAAGCAAGATAATTTGTCCCACTTGTAAATTTCTCCCGTGTAAATGATGTCTGTCAGCTACTTTCTGGATGTTAATTCAAGGTGGTGAAGAGTTAGCTTGTTCTTTTTCAGTTTGATTTAGGAGCGCGAAATAACACAGTAGAGGTCTTAGGATTGTCTTCGCTGCTGACTTAAAATTCCACGGAGGAGGATGCTACATAATTTTTCGCAGAGTTATTAACAGGTTTAAGGGGGCCACTGCAGGAAACGTTTCTTTTTAAGCCTCAGAAACCAAATTAATTTGTTCTCAATTATTCCTAGTCTGGCGGTATGTTTTTCTATTTACTTATGTAGGTCTCAGTCTACACTGCTGGAAACATTAAGAAGAATGTTTCCCTTGTTTCCCTTGTTTCCTTGTTGCCAATCGAGTACTGGTCGGAATGCTAACGGTATAAATACAAAACACATTCACAGAAAAACTGACGATGATTTTGTGTGCAAAAGTTTGATTTGGCGAGGAGCTCTGCAACTCAGGTTCATTGCCCTTGCATACACAGGCCACTGAAACCCGTTTAGCCTTTCCAACTTGCCGCTGGACAGAGGAATATGGAACGCCCCCCTCTCTCCCCCAGTGCTACAAGTGACCCCGCGCTACATTTCAGAGCGCGAGTTCGTATACCTGTGCCCTAAATTTAATCCGAGCACTCGCCCTAACCCTCCATGTCCCAACCCCACTCCTAGCCTACCGCGAGGTGGGACAAGGCAACCGGTAATACGAGGAAGTTCGTTTTCTCACGCCCAATCCAACATTCTACCGTTCGTATGTACCTGACGCACTTAGAATGGAGCGGCTCAGTAGAAAATTCCTGCGTTACAGCCGCACCCATACAGACACACCCGTTATATAAGTAAGACGTAACTTGTGACACCTTCAAAGAGCGCGGAGTACTAGGGTGTGTCACATTTATTCAATCCATAGTTTTCTCTGGTTGAAAATGTTTGGTTCGAGCAGGTAGACAGGATGCAACGTGATGCAGTGGGCTTGAGTCACTGGCATTGCCAGTCACAGAAACGATACTACGATGAGCTGAGGGTGGGATAGGTAGATGTTCTCTCAAATTATACTTCATTGAACACGTTTTATCGTTTTCGTAAAAAGCCACTATTATCGAGATTATCGGCTGAAAATTCTTGAGGTACTTGCGAACAGAGATTAGGAGAAGGACAAAAACATCCTCAGATAGACGCAATTGATACTTGAAGGGCATCCAGGCTTCTATGTCTAGATGTAAACCAAGTCGCTGAAATTTAGAGCAAGTATCATATGCGTCACCACCAAAAGCGCATACTCCTGTCTGGTTGGTCGTATTGGGAGTTCGTACCCAAGGGCTATTACAGTGTTAATATTGTTGTCGGGTTCTTATCGCACTCTAAACCCATCAGCTAGTAAGTTAGAAGACCCCGACAGTAAAGCAGGTGGGAACTAGGCAATGTGGCTAGGTGTTTTTAACCTATAGTGGACTTTAGAATGAATGTATAAATCTAAAGGAAAAATAAATTGGGGCAAAACGGGAAACCATAGTCCTCTCGGTGTCGATAAGGCCTAAAATGCATTCTAAACGGACGGCATAATTTTGAAAAGCCGGCAATTCCGAGTCTTATAGGTAGCACGTCGTCGAACAAACCAAGCACATTTCTTTTTTCACACCTCCAGCTGTTGCTGGATGCAGTACATCAGAAGGAAAACCAACAAACATGAAGAAGAGTAGGGTAGACTAACTTAACATAAATGAAGTCAACCAGCCAATGCTCAAAGCCAGGGCAGAATGGGCTGAGGTCTGCATGAGAACTCTCCAGTTATTGTATATTTAGTCAAGTGCTCGGTCGTAAAACAGCACAGTGCGACGACTGAATATGTAAGCCCACATTTTATTTCTATCATATGCCTACTTGATTTTTTGTAGACATTTGGTATAAGGGTTGCGTCTTCGGTTAGGCTCAAAGGAAATGCAAACTTTAGGGTTAAGGCTGGGATTGGGGTTAGGTAAGAAATTAGGATAAGGGAAAGGGTTAGGGCTCGGGTCAGGGTAATAGCCAACTCTGTCTGCCGCATACCGCCTTACCCGTTTGCGTGTCCCTAATTCGCATCTTTCAAACTGCGCAATCTGTCCCGGTACATCGTTTGAGTAGTAAAACAAACATGTGGCAGAAATGCAAGCTTTCCCAAGCCTGTGACTAATTCCGTCAACTGCCGTGTCCGTATGTCCTACTGATAAATTTCGTGATAACACCCTTCACGCGTTTCAGGTGTCCTTGTGCCTTCTTTCCTCAATGGGCTTATTTATTAAATTTTTATCCGATCGATTTCAGAGGAATAATTACTATCGAAGCCTTCTCATTTAAAGAATTATTCCTAACTCTAGGTGGGGCACGTATTGGTAAGCGCTGACATACTCTCCGGCCTTGGTAATATACGTCTAAGTAGACCCCCTTTCAAATTCCAATAGTGAGGTCTACAGTCTTTTTTGAGGTACACTGCGCACGCAGTAGTCCACATCATGATGTTAGCCAAAAACATGTCCATGACAAAGGCGAGGCCTAAGGTTTAGAAATTTTCACAGTTGGCGTCTACCAGGCAGGCCTTAAAATTAAACTGACCGAGCGCTTGACCTGACAGCACACGTAGAGGTGAGAGATTTCATATCTGTTAGACAACAATGGTAAAAACCATATGATATATCATAAAATAGAGATTACGTGATAGACCCTTGATTTAAGGAAATAATTAATTCATTTCATCTTGAACTGGTCGGAGTCATGAGCACTGTGAATAGCAACTACCTCAAAGGACAATGGTTTATTTCGTGGAAAAGCCGTCTTTTCTTCCTTTGGCCAACTCAGCCACCGAGGCCGTATCCTCTTCAACCGGCCAAGTCGCCTCTCTTGATGGTGAGCCTCGCGAACAACAGCCATTACCATCTCCAGCCCCCGATGTCGCCGACGAGAGTAGTATTCATGTGTACAAACTGCAGGGCATGATTCTGCACCATGGCCTCTCTCTGAGCTGCGGACACTACACATGCGTTGCGAAGGTGGGCAGCAACTGGGTCTCCTTTGACGACTGTTCAGCGTCCTTCACTAGTCTGGATCAAGTCAATCGTCAACAGTTTGCCACCCCTTATCTCCTACTTTACAGCAAAGTGTAGTGATCCGCACACCTCCAACCGCAGTATTTCAGTACTCGCTGTCTTCTTTGCCCTTCCACTCAATCTCCCGCACCCCATCACTCCCATAAGACAATTGATTTTGCAATTTTATTTCATCAGTTCTTCCCTCCACTAACGTGTCTTTCCTCACACGTGCTCCTACATGACCACAGAAACTACCGCCATTTGCTTTCGCCCTGATTCGAGATGGGCTATTCACACATTTCCACGGCGATTTCTCTCTGTGCCCTCGTCCTCCTTGCTGTTGAATTTTATTTAGACTTGTATATTTTTAACAAAAAAAGACTGTTAATATTTGGAAACAGCAGCAACAGCAGCCAGATTAGTCAAAGAGTCCCGTCTCTGATTGCTCAATCCTAGGTGCACGACACTACAAATATCGGCTAAGCCGGAGCACATTCGGACGGCGAGAAAGGGCTGTGATTCATTGTTTGCATGCTGGGGTCGGTCGGTCGGCCGAGGTTAAAGCGACCCTTGAATCCAGAGGATGCCTATCGAAGGTCTGTACAGATTTAACGCTTTGATTTCGGAATGTTAACAAATGTTATTAGTTGAGGCGGTTCCTGACATACTGCTGACGTCTGCCATATTTGAGGGTAGATGGAAAAGTGTTTCGACCCAGTACAGGCACTTATTATCAAAACTATTAGGCGGAGTTCCTATACGGAAGTAGCCGTGTTTGAGCTCTCAGCGAAAGGCGCTCGCATTCCCATAATTAACTTTATCCACACAATTGTGGGTAAAGTGATTGACGAAGAAGTTTCTGCGGATGGAGTCGAGAACGGTTTTTGGGAGAATTCGCACTACGGCTCTAGTCAGATCAGTTCTGCAGTATTTGCTGTTCGCAAGTGCATTCTTGTATTGACCCATTGTACCGAGAACTGATGGCATGTTCCTTGGATCGACATCACTTCTTGGGTCACATTTCCATTCAAAGGAGGATAATGATCAGGAGTCCTAAATCATGCTTTCACGACAGGTGGTATAGGTTCCGCACATAATGCGTTTCATTTCTCCACCACCCGATGACACCGCGCTCAGAAGTTACTCATCTCGACTGTGAACCCAGTGAATCGATGTCACAGAGAAATCCTTTCGTCGCGAGATATCGGCGTCCTTTGATGCTCACAATGGTTGTCCAGTTCTGGCTACAAAGTGACCTGAAGTTCACAGTAGCGTGAACCTGACGGTGTTCGGACATAGCGAATCCAACAGATGCCTGTAGGTTAATCTGATTACGCTAAATTGCGCATTTGGTCGTTAAAATTGCTTCTCTGCAGTCGTCCATTGATGCATGTTCGACACAAACGAACCCTGGCAATCAGAATATCGTTATTTCGTGGGAGAAGACCCTGATTAAGTGACAACTGGAAGCGGCGATTGTGCATCGGCTCTGTATTTCTTCCATTGCCAAAAAACCATCATCTACAATTCGTTTTCCGGGATTGCGACGCCTAGGTGCTAACACTTCAAAAATGAAGTCAGAAATGCATGCTGCTGCATGGGAGGTGCGTGCACCGATACGACCTGGCTGTAGAACGAACGTGAACATCTCCGCTCCGACTTTTGGATGTGGATCTACAGTTCGGGCATGCCGCAGCGTGAACAGTCAACAATAGGGACGTTTGCGTGGCGAAGGAGGGATGCCTGAGTGGCCATGGTTCAGGGGTTGAGCAATGCTCGATAGTTTAGGTGGCTCGGGTTCAAACCTTGGGTGTGTCAGCAGCTACGGTTGGGGCATGATATCGACTGACTCCTTGAATGATTATTCGGATATCCACATCATCGCCGGAAAAACTTGTTAAATCGGCTACTGTCCCCACAATCCACCCATATTATTCCAGCTATGAGCACACTATAAATGTTATCGTAACCGTGTGCCCCGGAACTGCATAACCCAAGCACAGGTATCGGTCATGTCTGCCGCCGACAAGTTTGAGTTCCCTTATATGGGAACACGTAATTTACAGCACGCTACTTTTGGGAAAAATCCTCAGGCCGTCAGCCTGCAAGATAATAGAAAGTAGTAGATCACATAAGTAGGGAAATTACTAAATTTTGTGCCGAATGGTTACACAAGGATGTGAAGACGCCAGCTGAGGAGAGGAGGGCCGGTTAATGGCTTGCACGCCAGGATTATTCGCCTAAGCCTTTGGTCTTGTAAAGTCATCCACTGTCAAAGAAAAGCACATGAATGTATTCGATCGTGACGAACGGACAACATGAAATTCTCTACAACACAGCAACTTTTCTAGAGTGAAGGAATGAGTGATCGCAAGTCCAAGAAACGCAGTCCGCATCACGACTGAAGAGGACGTGCAACGCAGCATGGGTCTCTTCGTCGCCGGGTGTGTCAACTTCCGACTGAATATCAACACAGACGAAACGGTAGTCATGCACTAACCGCCACCCAATACTGAAAACAGTGCTCCTCGCATCCACGTCAAAAGCACCGGAATGAAGACCGTGGGCAACTTAGCCAACTTATGCAGCATGTAATCACGCTGCATCAAAATTGACGACGAAGTGAATCATCGTGTCTTCAAAGTCAGCTGATCCTTCGGCTGGTTGTAGAACTCCGTATGGAACAACCACCTGAACACCAAGCTCAAAATGTACAAGGCTGTCGTCTTGACGACACTTCTATACGGAGCAGAGACCTAGGCCGTCTACTCTAGCTATGCTAGAAAGCCCAACCACTTTCACATTAGCTGCCTCCGCAGAATGCTGAGACCGAGATGGCAGGACAAGCTCCCAGACACGGAAGTCCTGGAGCGCACCGGAATTCTCAGCACCTACGCCATACTGAGGTAGTTGTAACTGCGATGGAGCGGCCATCTGGTGGGGATAGAAGACGCTCGCCTACACAAACGACAGTTCTACGGACATGCCGCTACGGGTGATCGTCGACCGAGAGGACAAAAACGAGGTTCCAAGGGCACTACGAAGAACTCTCTGAAGCGTCTACAGATTCTGTGAGGTCCCAGCCCAGAACAGACCGGCCTGGAGAAAGGCAGTGAAGACTGGCTCAGCAATCTATGAAACACACCAGATCGCCGCCGCCAAAGCCAAGAGTGAGACTTGCAAGTCTCAGGCGCCTGTAACCCACTACATCGCCACTAAACCCTTTAGCGACTAAGTGGTATACGTGTACTCAAAGCGCTACAATCATCAGGCCAAATCCCGAGTTGTATGAGAAGACAGAAGTCACCAGAATGAGGGCTTTATTGCATACAGAAACCTGAGTCGTCGTCTCAGGCGGCAACGGCCGTCGGCAAAGCCAGGGCTGGTGTTGACTGCGTCCAGTCGTGCCTGAGAGTTCGTGAGGCAGTGCTGTCAGCCGCTTTTGTAGGTTTATGGGGTAATGTGAAGCGGTGTCCAATTGCTATTTGTTTATTTTTCGAGGGGCGTTCAAGTGACTTATGTTGTGCTCGCAGGAGAGCGGTGTGTTCAAGTGGCGTATGGCTAGCCGAGATTCTGTGGATGCACATGCGTCCGAGCTCAGGTTGGTCGAGTGGCTGCAGGTCACGGCGTCTGAGCAGCTTGCTGCGAAGGCGGATAACCTTGGATAAGGAGCCCTGACATAGTCATGATGGCTGTTGGCAACAACCCTACTCAACATGCCCGCGCTGCCAACGAACATTCCGCGATGCTAGGGGCCACTCACAGATCATTCTTACGGAACTCACTCGTTCCGTTGTGCCTTACGGGCTCTCTCTCGAACCCAACCAGCAGCCGCGCGCAGATTGGCCTCGGCGGTCATCTTCGCACCCAGTGCACCAACCGCCTGACAACCGCAACTGCTGCCTCCACGACCGCATCGACCACGACGGTGCCCGACCTCACCACCGTTGCCCCCAATCCCCGTGCACCACCACTGTTGATCACCGCTACCTCCATCTCTGCCACAATTACTGCGGCGACGACGGACAAAACCACCTTCATCACGTCCACCACCGACCGAAAAACTCCTGACGTCCCGTCAACCACCAACACCATCACCATCCCCACCTTCGGTGATGTGGGCCCGGTCACAACCTGTCCTGGTTATGATCGCACATTCACCCTACGCAATGGCCTGGTTGGTCACCTGCGGTTACATCGCATTGTGACCGGTTCATCAGGGTGCAAGCACCTGACATACACTCGCCTCCTTTGCCGGCAATGTATCTGTTCAATGACTCATCGCAGTGGTCTATTCGACCACATGCGCACCCACAAAAGCGGAGCTCGCCGCGCTATCGACACCACAAACACACGCTGCATACCAAACAACGTTACCATATCCGGCAACTAGTTTGTTTTTGGTCTTGAAAACTGTTTTGGAACAGGAAGTCCGCAAACCTAACACTTCCATCTTAGACGGAATCGAACTGACAACTCCTCAGATTTTGGTCGGACTGTCTGCTGCATGAGCTACCAGGGTGTCATCGCCGATGCTACGAAATTGCGTGCTGTTTTATTTAACCCTAGCTGGACCCGATCACGCGTTGCTGTGGCTCAGTCTGATGAAATGGAAAGAGAAGAAAAAAGGAAGGGGCACGTTTTAATATGTTTAATTTCATAATGCTTGTGGGTATGCAATATTGTTACATTGTCTGTGCAGATATAGAGATTGTCTGGTTTGCCGACTCTGAAGCGCGCAACATATAATTGGCTATGTAGCAAACAATCCGTTTGCAGATACAAACCGCACAATTCTAGAGATTGGCCCTGAGCTTTGTCAATGGTGATTGTAAACGTCAATTGAGTCGGGAAGTGCGGTCACCTAAATTGAAATGGCATGTTAGTTGAAATCAGTGGAATGCAAGGAATAAGGACATATTCACCTCTGGAAGGCCCTCTCAAGATAGTTGCTTCCACGACTTTGCTCATTAACTTTTTCTACTGCAAGCCGCGTGCTGTTGCAAAACTTCGGTTGGTTGATATTTTACTGTATGATAATCGGCACGCCGATTTTCAAGTGCATTACGTGCGACGGCATCCCTGGCAGATCGAGTGAATTCAAAAAGTCCGTTGGATAATTAACTGCCTCGTCCGCTTCCACAGCAGTGTCGACAGACCTGTATGTGACTGCCGTGCTTTGAATCCTAAGCTGAATAATATGGGAGACATCTTGGCCGCAAGAATAATTCGTTCGTTCAGCCAATAACGGTTGACATAATTGGTCAGAATATTGTGAAACACCTATTCAATCAATTCTTCTTTTGACAACACTAAATTGCCGAAGGTAAGAGGGGAGTGAAATGCGTCCTAAAGTCCTATTAACCGGCACCATTCAAGGAGAAAACAGTCCTACTTATGTCAAGAAAGTAGGTGTTCTGAAGAAAATGCACTGACCCTGGACTTAATTATGTTAGCACGCCGCCGGCATCGCCATGAATAAGCATCCAGAAAAGGGCAGGTTCGGTGAATCAGAACATCATGAACTGCAAATCAGATACTGTTTTATGTCCGACCATTGATATATTTGATCCAGTATCACATACCGCATAGGACGTTTAAGGACAACAAAAACCATACCGCTCATCATCAAAGTATTTGTATTCAACGTGGAGAATTGACGAGACTCTAATTTCCGCCAACGAGGCAATGAATAACTTGTGTTACAATAGTTTTGTAGTTTAATGACCTAGTAAGAGAGGTAACTACACTTTGCTGATAATTTCTTGTGACTAGGTAAGAAATAAGAACCTGCCCAACTTGTGCATCTTTCTAGTCGTTTATAGGTTTATTTCGCCACAGTCGAATAAAAAACTTAGCAATCCAGACTTACTACCACTGTTTGTAGTGAGTTCATTAGAAAAATGCCTTCAAACAGAGAGCAAATTCAAATCTACGTCTGCTATGTGGGATTTCCAAAGTCAGACCACATATTTTACATCAATCACACGCACCCCCTACAGTCAGTCCGCCTAGTTCACTCCGCCTGACGTGTGAAGTTCCTGTCGCTATGCGTTAAACTGATGGAATTATGGCTTTAAGAGTCATAAAGGCACCTTATGCTTGTTCAGTCACAAGGCATGTGCTCTCTGATTGTAATTAAAATCCGCCCCTGTGGTGTTATCGTAATTTATTCATTACATGCGTTAATTGAACACTTTGAGGTTGTTTGAAGTAGCCCTTAAAAGTCGATTACACTGGTGTTTAGTCAAGCTGAAGATAATTCATTTATTCGGCTCTTACATTTTACAAATATCCCACGGTTCGATAAGGTCTGACTGGTTTGAATCGAGATTTCGATGTCAATTCCTCTTTCCCTTAAATGTTGTCACCATAGAAGACAGTACGCCTTCGCTCAGAGACAATCATATTTGTTCCCAAACTGACTTATCAATAGGTGTAATCTCCATTTGGTGCTACTTTCTAGTCGAATTACCTCTTCGGGTAACTTTTGCTGTTCATGGGATTTTGTACAAACTTGTCGCAAAATAATCGGGCCTTTTAAGTTAAACAGACAAATCCAGGTCTTAAAAGCCAAGAGTCCAAGGACTAACAGAAAAGACTCGTTGAAGATAAGCTTTAGGGAGATGTACTAGACATTTTTGGCAAGAGACCAATCTAGAATATCGTCTACATAAAGGCGATATTTGTTTACCCGAAATCTAACTACTTTAAGGAAAAACAAACGAGTAGTTTTATTTTCCCACACGTTTCATAGCCCCTTAATAGGATATCTAAACACCCAAAGCCGAATAACAGCTCAGCCCAGCGTCTAAGATGACGTGAGCATTCCTCACAGCAATAAACATCATTGGTCTAGATATGATCCCCGGGGGGTTCTACCAACATCTTCCCCTTCTAACGGCTGTCGTGTCAAATAATGGCTTTAAATTGTGCAGAGTTGGAGTGTACTGTATGGACGCAAGTATATCGCCGAATGTGTCCACAAGGACGTTCAAGGCGATCATTAACATCAACCGCAA